CCATGTGTTTTCTCGAAAGATGGTAAACAAGTTTGACTTGTTGATTTTGAGACCTGTGGCATCTTAAGCTGAGTCGACCATATATGATGGTACAACACAAACTGAGTATGGAATAAACAATGTAATTATTCCAGCTTCCGTTCACGTATTCTTTTCAAACTAGGTAGCTTGATGTTGCTATAAAGGAAACAAGCAGACCGATGTGCGACTAATATTGGATGGGCAATTCGAATGTGAAAAAATCAGTGCAGTCGGTGCGGCCTCAGAGCTCAGCTGGTAAAACGCGCGCCATACAAAATTGTAGGCGGCATCCAGGTGTGGGTTCCAATTCCACCGAGGCTACTGAACTTTTACAATTTCAACATAAGACTTCATTCTGCTAAACAATCATTTGAACAAGACTGATATGTGTTGAAAGAACCGTCATGGCAATCACAGAGGTTATAATAAGAAAACTTCCGAAAACCGTTTTAAATAACAATGATACAGGTAAATCAAATATGGGGTTTTGTTACTTATGCAATTTATTTAAACCTTCAAGAGAGCTTTGTTTAAAGCTAAAGATTTGTAATGTTGCACTGGCCTTTGCACTAAATACGAGATACAAGAAAAAAATAAATTGTTTTAATTTTCAGTTGATTATAACTGAATACCATCCTTCGTATTTCTTTCATTTTCCGTCCAAAATCCCGCTTGCTTTATTTTCTACTCCATGTGTCTGAATTTGTTTGTTTAAATGCACTGCATATTTCTGTACCTCCGCTTTAATGTGTTTATCTGTCCGCGCACACATTGTGTTTGTTTCGTCGTTTGTCCTCCTGTGGTCATACCACGTGCTTTGCACACTAAGCACAAACACGCCGAGCACCGACCAAAACCCATCCTACACCATTTGGCTCTGTAAAACAAACACAACCTGTCAATTCCCGTCCACCTTTACCAAAACCAAATAAACCCAGCACACGAAACCAAAAGTTGGCACGCACAAAACCCGCATAAAATGTGTACTTATGTATTTTTGTTTTCAATTGCTACAAGTTGATTCCTATGATGATAATTATATGAATCTCACTCAGCGCCTAAAGTCATTTGACCTCGATGTAAAGTTGTGTTACGCCTTTTTAAATCAAGATAAAGGCAGTCTGCCTTGAGTCGTACTAAGATAATCTGACCACTGATTCATGGTGCATGTGTATGATAATTCCTTCGGAATTGTTTTACAAGCAGCAAGCGGTTTCCTTTTAAACGTACTTGCTGAACAAACTGGTTGCGGCTATGATAAACTGGTAAACAGATCAACGAAACCCAGCGAGGATTAAGGTACTTTCTGTGTAATCCGTGGTTCTTCAGCAATTGGTACTTAAAT